TAACGAGGCAGTTAGAAAGCGTGTTTTCGGTTGTGTAACGGGTACTTCCATTGAAGAAGGTGTCCAGCACCAGAAATTGTGGTGGTTAGGCCATGTATTGCGTATACCCAACCACTGTTTGGCAAAGGGAGTGTTGTTTTCCGTGCTGAGTTCAGAGTGGTGTAAGCAGAGAGGTGGCCAACCCTTGACTTAGCAGAGGAGTATGAAGGAGATCACGAAACGCTTGGGTGCTGTCGGTGCTACTTGCCTTCCAGGATGGGAGCCGCGTAATCCGCACCACGCCCGGTTGGAGACGCTACATGATATGGCTGATTATTGATGTCAGTGGCGTTCTTGCTGTCAGTTTCTATCTAGGTTGTCTGAATAAGTGTGTGGGCACCTCGGAATGATTGTGATAGGCTAGCACTAAGTCCCTTCCCCGTCCACCTTTATTCTTTTCTTTACAATAAGGCTCTCAAATAAATCATGTTTGTACGGCAGTGAAGCATCGATGTTGAACACTGATGTCATGCTGTCGATGATGATGATGATGAACAACATATCAGGTTGTGGTATCGGCTGTGGAACAAAGGGACAAAATCTATCAAGGAGGGGACAACTTCAGTCTTAGCTGGAGCCAATTGGTCAGCTATACGTTCAGCTTTAGCACCCTTTCGGTGCCTAGCTGCCATGCCACCCAAAGGTTGCACGAGAGCTGGGATACTGCCAGGCTGCTCAAGCCTAGACAGGGGACGTCGAGAGGCTAGGGTCGGATCCTAACCACGGACCTTCTGGTCAGTAAATTCGCGCTCTAACAACGTGTGCCATCTCGACTAAACCTCAGCAGGAACTTACAGGAATACAACACGTCGCAGTGCGTACACTCTGCCACATCACTGCGACGGACTGTCATTCCAGCATACTTCTCCTACCGCAGTAGGTACTGTGCCGAATCCATGCACAACCTAGTCTGCCGTCTCCGGTTCTGCGTTGTGATTCCCGGGCTCTTTCTTGAACACACCATTTAGAAGTACTAAGTGAGGAGCACACTTTTTGAACGATGAAATCGGGCCCAACGCTCTACTCATTCGTCTGCCATAATGAAGCAGAAACGATTTACTGTCCTTCAATGAAGATTTTTTGTTCATTAAGCTCAACAGGCCTGTGTTGTTGAAAATGTACTAGCCGAGTACTGAATGTTGGCCAAACAAACGCCATAACAGATTTACCCGGTGGATTCCTTCACTAAAATCACTATGCTTCGTTTAATTGACTGTCTCTTATCAGTAGAATGTTTCCGCTTCAATCCATTCCGTTTTCCTTGGACAGTTCTAAGTGAGACATAGTATCCATCCTCCTAATCTCGATCACTAGATATCGTCATTATGAATAATAATAATACGGGATTTCTTCAGTTCCGGAAAGTCACTTATTGTGAATACTCTAAAAAAACCGTTTTATTCATGATGATTATTGTATGCTTCAGAATTTGCTCACTGGGGGACTGTCATGTGTTGTTCCATTTTATCTTTCAGCACTTCTCTCACATCAGTTTCCAGTTTCGTATTACGGCCAGCAGACTCAGAGCTCTGTTCAAAACACGACAACCAAATGGTTCCATCGTACCTTTGCGGTTGCTCAGTCACAGACGCTCTCGACGTCCCATCGATCTTGTCACCTTAGCCCACGAACCATACGCAAAAGATCCTTGCTGGATTCCGGCCATTCCGCCACCTCCCGAAGACGCAACCGACTCGGAGACGGCGATCCCGTGGAGTCAATTTCGCAGTCAGACTACTCGAATTATTGACGTCCGCAGTCCCTCGGAGTTTGGTAGAGATCATATTCATGGGGCCATCAATCTTCCGGTTCTTGACGATCATGAGCACGCCCTCGTCGGACGACGTTACGCAGAAGGTATCTCGCTTTCTGCTGTTGTTTTTCGCTTGATTCATCTGCATTTCACTACTCAAGTCGTGTTTCTCAATTGTCGAGTCGTAGTGTAACTCCGCTGCAGTATATAAGAAATGCTTTTTGGTCGGCCTCGTAAGATTTATCTTATTAGTGATAGAAAACAAGTTTCTACTGGAGAAATCTAATCCTTGAGAGACCACCACGGGTTTGGGATAAGTTTGCCTCTCCCGGGCATGGTTTGTTCGCATTTGCGATTGAGCACTAGGTCACTGCTGACGAGTATGGCTGCTGTGGTCTGTTTTAGCCTGTGGCATGTCGTTGGTGGGGCGTTTCTTGGGGATTGCCGTATCCCGATAGTTATAGCTGGGGGAAGATGACCGACAACTCTCCATCCGCATTTCTACCCGCTGAAACCGTATTTTCCACAGCGTCGCCTCTCGAATGCGACTTTTTCGACTGAAGCTGACAGCTGTCACCGTAGACAGATCCTACCACATTTCACTCAGTAGAGTGATCATCTCGAAGTACAGCCACAACAGAATAAAGATCACTTTAGTTTTCGGCGGGGGATGTGCAATGGCTTTCGTAGAAACAATGCATTCAACCCATCATTGAGTTGCTGGAAATTGCTAGGATATGTTAGTCGAATTATCTATGTCAATGCAGACCAACTTCTAATGAGTACCCCTACAGCTGGACAGAAATTACTTCAAAGCGAACATCCTGGGTACCCCAAAAACGAAGCTAAGCAAAATTTGACCGTGCAACGGCTATCTGTGGTACCTGAGAAGTCTGTCTAGACTCAAGAGGTCACATGTCTACTCTAACTCCATCAGCGTCCGATCCGTGTGTTAAAGCCATCAGTTAGCTCATGGACATGCTACGGTGAGTAACATTCACACCGTTTGCGATGCCAAACTAGTGCCAGAGCGAAGAAAGTTTTGTTTGTTGCAAGGGGACGGGAAGCGCAGTGTTTGTCAGTAAGTAGTAGTGTCAGCGCTTGACCATCGATGTCTCCGAAGGTCTTGTGCGATTAGCAATGCTGAGGTACGTTAGATGGTATTAGGAAGAAGCTCTTCAATGATTGATGAGCTATTCACACTCCGTAGGTTGTGCTGGTTAGGATGAGTACTTTGTCGTTCGGAGGTTCATCTCTTTGCAGAGATGTTTTTGCCCAGCGCTGTGCGGAGTGGAAATGATCGAGAGAGGGACTGTCTATCACCTAACAACGTATGAAAGCATTCACCAGTAAACTCAGTGGGGCCGTCCATCTGGATGGCGACCCCCAGGACTCAAGTGATCGGTTGTTGCTGACACTGGTAGGCATGGCTCGATCAAGTTTTCACTCCCCATCCACTATTATTCTCTCCACACAATGAGACTTTCAAACAAATTATGGTCATACAGCAACGAAACATCAGTGTTGAACACTCATGTTGCACTGTCGACGATGACGACGATCAGTCACGTTGCTGCATCCAAACTACTGCCTCTGACGCGTGGCTCTATATTCTCCATTTCTTTGGACGACTAGAGTGATTCAACATCACACAACTGATTATGCTATCGCCCCGAATTTTTGGCTATAGCTCCCTTATCCTCCCATCTTTCGGTGACCGAAACTTTAGCAGCTGGACCAATATGCCATTGATATGTGGCTTGCAACGAATAGACTGGACTAAATTTAACTGGCTTTGCTGACGATTAATTGAATATTCATCATCATCGACAGCATGACATCAGTGTTCAACATCGATGCTTCACTGCCGTACAAACATGATTTATTTGAGAGCCTTATTGTAAAGAAAAGAGTGAAGGTGGGCGGAGAAAGGACTTAGTGCTAGCTTATCACAATCTTTCCGAGGTGCGTACACCTCCAGACATTCACTCAGGCAATCTGGATAGAAACTGGCAACAAGCACGCCACTGACATCGGTTGACAGCCATATCTTGTAGTGTCTCCAACCACGCACAGTGAGGATCACGCGGTCCCCATCCTGGAAGGCGAGTAGCACTGACACCACCCAAGCGGTTCGTGATCTCCTTCATACTCCTCCGCCAAGTCAGGGGTTGGACACCTCTCTGTTTACGCCACTCTGAATTGGGCATGGAAAACAGCACTCTCCTCCGCAAACGATAGTTCGGCATACGTAACACATGTCCCAACCAACGCAGCTTCTGGTGCTGGACACATTCTTCAATGGAAGTACCCGTTACACAACCGAAAACACGCTTTCTAACTGCCTCGTTACGGATTCGCTGACACCAACCCACACGAGCTATGGTTCTCAGACAACGATTGTCGAACACCTGAAGACGTCTCAGGTCCGCTACTCGAATAGGCCAAGTCTCAC